AATTTAAAAAAAAAAAAAAAACCAGTTAAGTTCTAGAGAAAGGTAGGGCAATGGATTATGCATATGTTGGATGGTGAAGCAAAAAATCTTGTTGGAGGATACACATAATTGAAGTTTTGGATGGATGTTGGGAGTGGTAGGCCATTTATATATGCTTTGTACAAAGGACAAACCCCTAATTCTATCTTCTCTTTTTTATATTGTGCCTTTACCTTGTGGATCTAAAATGTATAGATCCCCCAAACCCCATTTTCCCTCATCCTTTTATTAAATAAATAAATAAATTATTGTTTAGTTTAATCTCAATTTTGTCCTTTAACTTTGGTATAGCCTCTTTATTTAGTCCTTATACTAAATAAATCTTTGTTTTGGTCCCCAAAAGTATTAAATTCTAGTTTTTTTTGGTCCCAAAACAAGGATTTATTTAGTTTAAGAATCAAATTAAGAGAATGTACAAAAGTTTAGTAGCCAAAATTGAGGTTTAACTTAATAATAATTTTGTGATTAAATAAGTTTTAAACAACAATATGAACATAAATTTTGTACATATCATTAATTTTTGTTATATAAAATTTTTACATCATTAATTTGAAGGAAAAACTAGGATTGGACATCAGTTTATGTGTCATGTAAGCTAAAATTTAAGAAAAATGAAGAAAAAATAGTTGAAATTCAAAATTTTAGAGACCAAAACAGAGATTTATTTAATTTAATGAAAAAAATTAAATGTTTATGACAAAGTTAAAAGACTAAAATTAAAATTTAACCTTATTCCTTTCTAATTCTTCAACTAATTTATTAAAAAATATTCACTTTCTTGCTTGTTTTTAAATGATATACCATAAGAAGTGACACAAGCTAGCTCCCCATCATCTTTATCTCATTGTTATTTAATACATGGCTTTGCTGTACTATATTATATACGTAATTAACTCAGAAGTTTGGGTTTGGACGTTTAATAATTAAATTAATGAAAGATGTCATTGTTAAGCAAGTTTGATTGGAAGAGGTGATATATATAGCTCCAACCACGAATCAAATTAAAGTCGGAATTAGAACTTATTATTATTGTTTTGGGACTTTGATGTGGTTGTGTTGGGTAGGTCGGCGCCTCCATCTCCTTAACAAATCAACCTCTGACTAGCAAAGTCATTTTCCGTCACACATTTAATATACATGCAATAAATTAAAAAAATGTGCGTATTTTAAAATATTGCAGGCACGTCAACTAGTGTGCTTTTGGATTTGGGAGTTCATGATATATCTAGAATGTTGTTAGTCCTAAAATTTTGCTAATTGTGGTTTAAACATTAAGAATTTAAACATATATGTTGGTGATGTTTTTGGCCTAGTAGAGACCTAGTTTGAAGCCTCGTGAAAACTTGCATTCTTCAAGTTTTTCCTTTTCCTAATTTTCTGTACTGTACACTTGTATGGTGCCTTACTTTACAAAGGTGTTTAAATTCATTTATATATAAGTTTTACATACTACATTTATATAAAATTTTAATTATTTATTATTTTATTTTTAATAGTTAACATTTATTTATTTTTTATTATATTTATTAAATATAATTATTTTTTATTTAAAAATAATAATAAATCTTAATTATTAAAAATAAATAATTAAAATTTTATATAAATATAATATATAAAAGTTATATGTTCCTTTTAAAAAAGGGATTAATAAGAAGGGATTAGTGGATGCAAGCATGTTTAAATAGGTGGGCTTTTGAAGGTTAAATGGGCTTCATTGGTCAATATAGAAAGGATAAGGGTTTTAGAATTGAGCTTTTGAAGCATAAATGGGCTTCAGTTGTCAATAAAGAAAAGTAAAGGGTTCTAGAATTGGGCTCATTATAAATTTCATCAAGTGAGGGTTAAGATGGACTATGCAGAGCTCTAGGCCTAGATTTTTTTGGACCAGACACACACTATCTATTAGTTAATTCAGAACCAAGCCCATTTGAAGGAAAGTAGGATGGGATCGCAAAGCAAAAGATGGTAAATAACTCCAATGCATGATCTGATAGCACCATGAAAGCTGAGATGAGTAGTGCTGCAGCAAATTCAAGAAGATGATGATGACCCATGATTCATCAAATCCAAAAAGGGGATTTATTGAGGATGATTTGGTTATTAAAAGTCTAAACTCCTTTTTGTCACATTGGTTGATGGTGCCTTTTTACCCACTTTGCACTATGCCTGATTGGGGGGGTGAAGGGGCCACTTTCAGTTCACTCATCCATCTAAACTATATATAACTACGATCGACACGAAAAGCAGTATGAGAAATGGTCAATTGATACATGCCATGTATTTTCTTCCTTTGAAGAACTAAGTCATCTGTATGAACTATATATAGTATATACAATAAGAAGTAATTTTTTTTATGTGTCTTTTAATTTAATTTATTTAATATTTTATGTGATTTAAATCTAACATTTTTTTTTTTTGTAAAAAAATTATTTGTATTGATTGGATTGCTATTGTTATTGGAATGAGCAGTCAATAAAAAGTTGCGATAGGGATGGAAGTAAAGAAAAATGTGGTTGTTGAAAGACGGAAGATCTTGCCAATTTGCTATAGTCAGAGTATTGAATAAAAGGTTAATAATTCAAGAGAGCAGCGTTAATGTAGGAAAAGCTTTTGCACTTTCCATTTCCAGTCCTATTTCTGTCCAGCTTTAATTTATAGTGTCATTGAACACTATCAAAATTGATACCCTTTTCTATGTTGCCAACTTAAAAAAAAAAAAAAACAGATTATGGGGTTTTATAAACTAATAGTGTAGTTAATGCATATTTTTTTAATAAAAATTAATAAAAAAATATACTATTTTGATTTTAAAATAATAGATTTTTTTATTTTTATCTTAGAAAGAAAGATTTAGGGATGATCTCTATTTTTATGTATTGTACTCTTAAAAAATAAATAAAAATAAAAATATTTTATTATAATATGATGAATACTTAAAATTAAAAATAATCATAAAGTTAAATTAAAAAATATTTATTTTATTTAAAATATAAAAAATTATTATTATTTTAAGATAAATTTTCAATCAAAATATTTAAAAACATCTATTACTTTTTTTTTTTTACCATTAAATTAGTAAGTTAATATATGTTTAGAATTAAAATTGAATCAAAAATCGGATGAACTTCACCTATTACTCGTGAAGTA